TACTCGACATGTCCATTACATTGTGAACTTTCCAGTCTCAGATTGTTTATTGTAGGAAAAATGGATTATCCTGAGATGTTGATAATTGACATTATTTTCTTCTGCTGAGATTTTTTTGCGGCTTCTGGCGTTGAATGACCTTGCAGTTGCTGTCGAAAACAAGCTTTTGTTCTAGACTTTCTTTTGTGTCATCCGGACCCATGCTATTTCCGGCTTGTTTTGTGACCGAGGGCTTTAAAAAAGCTAGTGGAACTAATTAGGACGTACATGCAACGTATAGATAAATGCTAATTGTGAACATCTATGGATGATCTTCGGGCTAAGCCAACTGCAGAATGTCCGCTTTGATGGTACTTACATCTACAGTCAATGCTCAATGCTCATTGCTCATTCTTACCTGAGTAATTATAACGCCTGAAGTAGACTGTCGAGTGGCGAAATAATTACCTGAAGTCGTCTGTCTCCATGCACAGTGCACACTGCACAGCCGGCATCGTCCCCCCTCCCCCCGCCCTCCCCCGCCCTCCCCCGCCCCCACCATAAGCTGGGGATTTCTGCTACGGCTGGGCACGTGACCGCCGACCTGTTCCGTGAATCAGCCGACTGGCCGGCCGGTCGACCGGCTGGGATTTCCAGCCAGCAGACACCGGTGTAGAATGTAGATGCTAAGTGCGTCGCTGCTCCGCTTCTGCTGATGTCTGGATAAACGTTCTGACCACGGTTCCTTCCTCATTTTCACCGGGTAAAGGCGATTCCGCTCACAGTTATGTCGCTTAGTCGTTTGCTACTGACTTTTGTTATTTATTGTCTATAAATTAGTCAAGGGCCCAAAGGGTAAGACAAAGGCGGGATCAGAGCCTACGAGATAGAAAATGATTATTACAAAAAGCTTGATTGTTTTTTCTTATTATGCTGTCCTGCCATCCAGTGCAAACGATTCAAACTGTCTGATCGGTTTATTTTCTGTACGAAGAAAACATTTTTTCATCATTTTCGGAAGCTGTGAGATGCATAGTGCATACCTATGACCTTTAGGCCCAATACATGTCAGTGTTCCTGCAAGGAGCCACCAGTTATCGCTTGATATACCAAAGTAGTGATGGTCATGGAGTTTTTACTTTAACAGGTTTTAGGGGATTTATTTTATCAACTTTCGGTATAGTCATGAGGCTTCAACCCCTATCTGTGTCACTATAATGTATGTATAACAGTAGCTTGTCGTTTCCTAAAAAGACCGTCATATTTGGAGAGGTTTATACCATTCTACGGGCAATAGCTTTCTTCAGTGGCAAAAGACAAGTTACTTAACACATATCAGTTTCGAACAATGCATGTGAACGTCTCCCTTATTTAGCTTTCTTTCCTTTTGATATAATTTCACACCTTTGTTTTGTGGTGGCTTCATTTACATGTTTTGCTCCATATGATATGACACATGAGTATTTCAATACTCTGAGGTATATTCAACACAACTGCAACGGATCAGCTTATGGCAGGACGGATTTTTCCTGCTCAGACCTTGGCTCAGACCATCTTAAGACCGGTCTAAAAAACTCCAGTTTTGCTCTGTCCTTGGCAAATGCGGCTCAGGAGCTGTGAAGCGTGGTAGATGACCTGCTTTTAACTAGCGCATCGTGATCATAGACTGGTCTCATACGTAACTGACCTTCACGTCTTGAAGTGAAAATAACGGGATTTTATATTAAAGTGAGTATTAGAATAAACAATTATAATACTTTTCATTTTTATTTTCCCACTTTGAGGGTCAGCTTCTGCTTCCGCCTGCAGCTTTCCTGCTGGATTTCAGCTTCAAGGTTAAGCTGTCCTGTTTGACAGCTGTTGGTGTTAAGTGCAATTGCCACGCTTAGTTACTGGTTGATAACCGATGGTGTTTGCGTCAAACCGATCCGTAGACATCAGATTAAAATGTTTACCAGTTCTGGGAAACAGACGATTCGGGAACAGAGGGTTGAAAGGACTGTCGATGTTTTCGTGACATCGGGAAGGATTTACTCATTTTGGTCACTACTCACTAGACATGAACACAAGTTTTTAATTTTTTAAGCACGTAATACTCGAAAAACATGTGCTGCTTGGGGGATGGACAAATTGAGGATGGAATGTGATGTGAGGAAATATGTGGGTATTTGTGGGTACCAGGGCTGCGGAGTCGGAGTCGGAGTCGGAGTCGGAGTTGGAGTCGGTCGGAGTCGACAGTTCTGACCGGAGTCGGAGTTGGAGTCGATTTTGGAAACCGGAGCCGGAGTCGAAGCCGGAGTCACCGAAAAAATCCATCGACTCCACAGACCTGGCAGGGCTGCGGAGTCGGGAGTCGGAATTGGAGTCAGTCAGAGTCGATAGTTCTGCCCAGAGTCGGAGTCGGAGTCGGAGTTGGGTTTTGGAAGCAGAGCAGGGGTCGGAGTCGCAGTCGGAGTCACTGAAAATCCATCGACTCCGCAGCCCTGGTGGATACCGCTGTGAACACGAGCGGAGCGCGGGACTCGCCCATCTTGGCCGTTTTATGGCGTTCTATCCACGGCAGATAAGTATGAATTTTTCACCGAAATACCCTTTTGCACCAGTATTTAGCTTGTATGCAGCAAGGACTTAGCAAGGATTTAACATGAACACCGATGGACGATTTCAGTGTCGCACTCTCAACAAACTTTAAAGTGCTGATTCATAACGTTTACAACGTCATCACAAAACACCACAGTTGCACAGGCAACTAATTACTGTGTTGGGACGGGATTTCCTAATCGAACATTGATATGCTTGCCAGCCGTGAGTGGATAATGAGCTTGGACGACTATCTATCTGCCCAAACAGCCAATTAGTAAATCTCATTAAGCCAATTGTTCCGGGGATAGACTAGAAACTACCGTCTGGATTTGGTATGAGCTACCATGACGAAGCACAAAGTGCGTCAACACACAACGAGGTTGCGCTGACAGTCATTGTCCAGAGTGGGGCGTGATGGGGGGTCACGGTTCTGCGTTCACGAGAGTTCTACGCTTTGGGTGGTCTCTCCCACCAATACCGGAAGCCGAACAATGAGACCGGAAGTGACACGCCAGTCCCGCCTTGCCGTGTTCTGTTTCCAGTTACGTGGAATAGTGTCCGATTCTCGCAGTCTGCATAGATGTCGTCAGTTTCAGCATGTTATCCATTTAGTTTTTTTTTGTGAAGCATGCGTCAACTTCCTCTCCTTTGCACGTATTGCTAGCATTGTTCAACGTTGAACAATGAACAGCCAATTTGACTCGCAGTCAGGCGTGTCCTGGAGCCCAACCGAACCCTATTCAATCACGATCGGTTCCGAATGTCTCCATTGTTGTATATCTCATAACGCGATTGCAGTGAACAGTCCTTCATGCACATTGCACATCTGCACTCAGCTGTACCAAAATGACGTTTTGCACTCACATCGACGTTCAGGCGTGTTGAAGGCCTGCTGGCTTCGTCTGCGTGTTTTGGTAGGCATTTGTGTGCTTGCTGCTTACTTTCGAGTTTTGTAGGCAGCATCAGAAGTACCTCACATGTAATCGTTCCGTAATAACGTTGACCTAAACAGACGGCGGACTTTCCAATGACTTTCCAATGAATCTAATGAGCACCCCGAGTTCCTCACCCGGTGAACGACCCTGCTCATTTGGTGAGAGCGCCGGAGTGGCTGATGAGTAGGGGAGAGTGGGGTAAGATGCCCAGGGTGGGAAAGACGCCCCACCCCCTCTAGCGGGGAAACAAAGAATCGAACCTGGAAATTAATGTTCTTAGCGTAAAGCGGAAGCCTGCCTTGTTAACTGCACAAAAATTTGCGAAGCTCAGTTGGGCAACGGCTGGCTGGTGATTGCATGTTTTTTATTTGCTGCTTTCAAAAAATATTTTGGCGTCAAAACATTGTAAATATCAAAGAAGGTAGATAATTTTTGCGTCCCTTGCTATAGTCGTGATACATTAACATGCGTGTACTGTGTCCCAAACAGTTTGTTTCAGGGTGTAGTTTTATGGCTAACAAATTGTGCTGATTTAATGTTACTTCGGTACCTTGGGGTAAGATGCCCCCTGTCCTGATGGGGAAAGACACCCCCCTAAATCCGTAGGCTGTCCTTCAAGCAGCCCGTCAAATCATTTATTACATACTTGTGATGAGAGACAAAAGCCGATCTGGGACTATTGAGAGTCCGGTACGGTCGAGTACTCCCCATGCCGGTCTCTCGGCCCACACAGCGACTTTTTGGGCGGCATCTGACTCTGAGAGCCCTCACGACGGCCTCTGTGGGCCCCATTATTGGTTCCAGGGCCCCTCACGACATCCTTTGAGGGCTCCCACGTTGGCTCCACGGGCCGCGCTGGCATCTGAGGTCCCCACGATGGACTTGAGGGCCCTCAAGCATCATGAAGGGCCCCACAGTGGTCTCCGAACGCCACCACGGAGGCTTGTTTGGCCACGCTGGACTATGATGGCCCTAACGATGACCTCTGAAGCCCCTTACGATTACTTTTGAGGGCCCTTACGATGACGTTTGGTGTCTACTGCAGGCTCGAAGGGACTACTGATTCCTTCAGACGATTCACGTGCCTATTTATGTCACTTATAGTGCAGGGGGGCATCTTACCCAACGCCAGGGGGCGTCTTTTCCACCCTGTGGGGTAAGATGCCCCCTTTCACTTCTTCAGGAAAATGCTTAATAGCAAAAAAAGTTTTCATATTTCATGCACGAAAGTGTGATATTTTTGGAGAAAAATGATGTCGGCTTCCGTTGAAACTCCAAGTTTTGGCTTTCCGATCGTCATTTTCGAATAATATATGTCATAGTCAAACCCTGGGCATCTTTCCCCACTCTCCCCTACTGTGTGTCACGAACGTTATTAGGCCGGTCAATCTCACAACGGCGGTTTAAATTCCCGATTATGCGGTATCGCTAATAACAACCTCATTACCGCAGGGTCGTCGTCGACCGTACATCGTTCTGACATTGTCCCTGTGTTTGTTTCAGTCGTCTCCGGATACACGGTGGATGTCGTGGTACCGGAGGCCCCCGAATTCGGCTCCCGAGTAGTGCTGGAATGCAACTACCGTCTGGACAGGGGCGAGAGGATCCAGGAGCTGACCTGGGTCAAGGACAACCAGGTGTTTGTCACCTACCGTGACGGACAGCAGGCCACGTTCACGAACATTCCCGGACTCAATATCGATGTGAGTTGGACTGACAGATTGGGAGTGCACACGTATGCAATGTCAATTTTCGTTCTGTAATGAAGACTTCTTAAACAATCAAACAATTCGTCAATCATTTTTAGTCCTTGGTTACATACTGTTTTCAAACGTGACTCTTTGTTATGTTTTTTTTTTCTATAGCTTAACAAGGAGGTTGAAAATCTGCACAGCAAATTCTTTAAATTTCGACTGAAAATAAAAAATGACTTGTCCAGGGATCCGCCCCATCTCACCGGAGCATGTTCCTTCTCTTGCAGGAGGTGAACTCTTCCCAGCGTCGCGTCATCCTGACTGACGTCCAGGACTCGGCCTCTGGCGTGTACGGCGTGCGCATGTCGATCGCGGTCGACAGCGCCGGCAGCACCAACGTCAACACGTTCGTCCACAACCAGGACATGACCGTGGGAGGTGAGTCGGACACGTTGACGGCCATGTCAGTGACATGACGGCTGTGTAATTTGGTAGCAAAGGCGATTTTTTTTTTCTAACAGAAAAGCCGCTCTTTTCCGATATTACCGTGATGTTTGAAGATGTCGCCTCAGTTATCTTCATTACATTTTTTAATGAAGTGATAATTTTACCATTAATTTTGATAACCATGTCTTCAGCCGTGCCAACCATACAAACAATCATAAGTAACCCACTGCCTTGTCTCTCCTCAGGCGCGGCCGCCGACACGCTCGGTAACCGTTTCGGCGGCGGCTCGCAGCGTCGTCCCGTCTCCAGCGGCTCCACCGTCATCACCAGCTCGTCCAGCAGCTCGTCCGGCAGCTCGGGCCCCGTCGGCGGCGGCCTTGGCAACCGCTTCGGGGGCAACCGCCCGGACCCCGCCGGCAGCGGTGCCGCCGGAGCCACGTCCTTCGCGGCCGAGGCGCCCGTCGGAGCCGCTCAGCCCGTGCCGCCGCCCGGCCAGTCGTTTGCCGAGAGCGCTGCTGCCAGCGGCCTGGCCGCTGCTCAGGCTAACCTGCAGAACGCTGTGAACCAGCTGCAGAATGCGCTGAACGCTGCCCTCGCCGGCTGAGAAGTGATTGAGATTCTGTCGACGCGAGGGGACGCGAGGCAAACCCCCTCGCGAGTCGACGCGAGGGGATGGGGATTTTTTTTAGGCCGTGGAAGACATGAGCAGCGGGACACGAGCTATACTGATTAGGGTTATCATTCTTAGATGCTTGTCTTTATGTTAAATGTTAAGGGCATACGTGAGGTGACGTTATTGTGAGAAGGAACACTTACTGTACACATTCCAGCCCTGGACAATCGGTGCAGCTTCATTGTTATCCGCATAGACACTACAGTTTTAAATGTGAAAATAAATGACATAAATGAAAAGTGTGCTTGTTTTGCAACCATATTCCTATGGGGTTTGAATTTGAGACCTTCACCTGATCCGTCGAACATGCAATGAAAATTTAACATACACAACCGTGTTTTTTTTTAATACGAGTCAAACAACGTGGAAAACAATCTTGTTGCCATAATACACCGCAGGATCGTTGCAGTTGACCAGGCGTCATAGTAAATGCAGGCCCTAATGCCTATATAAAGGCTCAGTCTCGGCTAGATTTGTAACAATGCGCTAATCTCTTTTCCCTGAGGACCAAGTAAGGGCAGCTGTCCTACGCACGTACCTTACATACATTGTGCGTCTAATTTATGATTTATCATGCACTGGTGAGCCTTCTGGAACCGCACAGTTGTGTCTTGCACGCACTTGAACGCACGAATATTATAACGCTAACGTTAAAACCTGTATATGGCCAACCAGTGTCCACAATGAATTACCTTTAGGGAGGGGGGGGGGGACGGAGGGCTCTTCCAGGTTGATAGTAGGTTGCAGGGCGATTTGATGAGAGGATTGGAGGAGAGACTACTTCTACCACCGGATGGTGTTCGCAGTGGCTTAGCACATAACGATGGGACTGGACTGGAGTGTTTCGATGAGACAATCCACACGACCCATCCAGTTTTTCAAACCGGTTACTTCGAAGGGGATGCTCATTGTGCATTCTTTGCTTATTCTTTGATTCGTTAACGAAGCATCAGTCAGGTTTGACAGGGTCCGCTTGTCTGGCCCGACTTGCTGTTCTTCGGAGCTGAAACTGGCATGCTAAATCCAGTAGGTATGTGACGGTCGCACTCGGGTAGTGACTAAGGAGACGTTGGAGGCTGGTATAAAGGGATGTAGAGGCCAGGAGGGAGGCTATTTTTTGTAGAACTGCCCTTCACCGGATGTGGGTGACTGTCGGCCCGAACAGGGCTAGTTTGATTAGGGAAACGGTGAACTGTCTTTGTTTTGTCGGCCCGGTCGGGGTAGGCTGTTTCGGTCTAACGAGACCATTTCAGAGACAGATGAATGCTAGGGATAAGAGGGAGGCATTGGTCTGGGCGGGTGCTTCACCGGCGCTGAGCCCATCGCATGGACAGGTCACTGAGTCCCGCTAACGATCACCGCAAACGGCTACAGGCTTGCTCTTGGGGTGGAACTACCCATGAGTCCTAAGTTGCCCGCCCAGGTCGGAACAGGGGATGGAGGCGTGGAGGAGAAGGACTTGACTATCCTGGGGATGGAAACGATTTTTTTTTGGGGGGGGGGAGGGTGAGCTCGTTCGGTTTAACAAGACCCATTTCAGGGCCGGTAGGATGATAGGAATTAGGGGGAGAATTTGGTCTTGGGAAGGAAGAGAACGAGTAGATTGGTCCGGACTCCAGAGATAGATAACGAATGGAGTGTAACTGTAGATACGAATGGAATGAACGTCACCTTGTATGCCCAAAGTACACTTGGACCTGTGTCCGATAGATGTAGCGGCAGTCGCCTTTCACGAATAATCCGATGGCAGGCTGCCGTCGCTCCTCGCCGGGGTACCGTACGACGGTGCCCTCTGGCGGCCTGACCTCCGTGGTCGTCTGAGGGTTATGTAGGTGGCGCTAGGGTCGGTCCAGCGCCCGTGTCTCGCGCCTTAGGTCCGCTTCCTCCAAGAATTCAATGGTGAACGCTCAAATTCGGTCAGTTAATTGTCCATTTCATTTTTTAACAAGTTTTTTAGATTTTATCATTATTCATGATTCTCATTGTCCATCAAGCGCAATCAATCTTAATATCGACACACGACTACGGTTCACATTGTTGTGAAAGGAACATTTCCGCTACCCGATGGATATGATATAGGCACCGTGCCATGATATCATTGTGCGCTGCGCACCTCATGGAGCACGGTAAGTGCGCTATAACCGGTCATACAGGAGGTTAACGGGTCGCACACCGCTCACCGGTCACCTCCAAAGTCCGGTTCAAAGTCACCGTGGCCGGCCCACTGTCGACGGTCGGTCGTGCTGCGGTCACGGCGTCTGATCAGTGATCATCCTCTTATGCAGGATATACCGGAGACCCGGGCGTGTTTCCGGATCACAAGCCAATGTGGTGGAGGCCTGACCTCAGTGGAATAACATGAGCTGTGCAATAACATTCGTAAATGGGTGTCAGGTCAGCAGGTGGAAGTTCGTTTTGAAGCTAACAGACTGAACCAGACGTGGCTTTCAACTGATGGTTGCCGGTTTTGTGAAGTGCTGTGCTCAGGTCTGCCGTTTGCGTGTTTCTGTTTCCGGCTTAGAGAGCTGCAGGATGGACGACTCAGACAGGGCCATGAGCAGAGTCAATGTACCTTACAAGCGGCTTTCCTGCTGAAGCTCAATAAAAGCTCGGTCTAGGTCGTGCCAGGGACAGATTATAAGACCAGTGATAAGGCTCTAAAATATAAATGGAATGGCAAATGAAAAACAGAAGCATAGGTCCATGCATTGTTAACCACTGACAGGGGCGTCGCCACGGATTTTTGACTGGGGGGGACGGATTGGCTGACTAAAAACCCAAAAGTTAGTTAGTTTAGCGTACAATTTCAGGCCTATGCACTACTTGTAACGCATACACAATACACATGTTCTCATGTTCTCGCGTGGAGGCGTTATTAGTCACACTCTTTTCTACCTGTGCATGAATTGGCGGCGCGAAGCGGCGCGAAAATTGGCAAAAACTCTTGGCAAAACAGTCCCAAAACGCATAAATTTTGCATCCCGCGTAATAATACCAGGACAGTTAGGGTCTGGTCACCAAGTCCAGCAGCCCTGCCTCTAAAAAATCGTGTGGTCCTCTGTAAACCGCTGTCAACCATAGGTACAGTTTTTTCCAACTTCTGTGCAGTGTAGCTGCAGGACTGCGGGGTCGGAGTTGACTTCGGTCGTAGTCGACGGTTTTGGTCGGATACGGAGTTGGAGTCACCAAAATCGTAACAGACTTCAACTCTGAAGTCAGAGTCAACGTCATCCCCGAGGATGGGTCGAATAAGAGCTGGAGATTCTGTTGGCTGTGGTGATTGTAGGGGTCATGGTAAGACCAATATAGGGGCATACTGAGCATTCCGTCCTCCTGGGCTCTCTCAGACCAGGACGAGGTCCTCTCACCCTCAAGCATCAAGCGTTCAAAGGCCATGGTGAGACCTTCTGCTGTCGGATGGCCTCGAACGGGAAGAGGGCCGTTTGAGAGTGAGCTGAAGGTCTTGACTATTACGAATATCCTATGTAAAATGTGTGGTCTCTGCAAGCTGTTGTCCTACTGCACTCTGAGACTTTGGGACAGATCTTCAGCCCTTGTTGGATATGGTCGCCCCTACAACTGGAGCTTTGGCTCCCTATCGACGACCTGGGACGGACAGTCCAGAGCTGCACCTCGTAGGCAATGTTATCTTTTATGTGCCAGGAAACGTTCAAAGAGACAAAAGCATCACATCACATGTTTTTTTCACTCCGATGCGGGCCGAGGGATGCCGTGGTCGGAGATGGAGCGGGGACTCCGAGCGTTTTTTTTAAGCCGGAGTCGGAATTACCAAAATCATCTACTCCGCAGCCCTGTAAGCAAGGGTACAGTGTCAGCAATTCGCAGATTCAATTTGTATACGAGTAGGTATCCGCAATTTCATCCCAAAACGACAATACACCAATGTCGTGGGTCACTTTTTAAATCATTCATGAGGATATTTTTGCGGGGGACGTCCCCCCCGGATTCCTCGACTGGGGGGGACGCGTCCCCCCCGTCCCCCCCGGTTTCGACGCCCATGACCACTGATTTAACTTGAAATAGGATAAAAATTAATGTAATTTTCGCTCTCCCTCTCATGAACATTGAACAAATATATGCAAAAAAGTCCAAAAAGTTCACTAGGTCTCTCCGGTATTTTGTATTATAAGGTTACTTTTTCATGACAGTGAATGAACGACGTCTGCCGGCATTCAGAGTAGCATGTTGCAAGAAAATAACGGCTTAAATGTAATAGCGTCTGTAATAGCAACCAAGAGAATTTGCATTATCGCCCCATCAAACACGGGGAAACCACTTGACCCAGATTCACCCGTCAATCCAGGCTAAAGCCCAAATGAACACCGGCTGAAAAGACTAACGGTGTGGAGACATGCGCTAATGACAACGTTTAATGTTTAGTGGTGTCTTGTGCAACCCTCAGGACGGTTTACAAGTGTAAAACGCAGAACCTGGGCCGACGACAGATCCTTCCGTTGTTCTTAAATACATGATTTAGCCATTGTCGGCACAAACCTTACCAGTTTGAGGTGTATGGGTGCGTCTGCGGTAAGACGGGCTGGCATCTAATCCTGAAGAATTGGATACCTGCTAATTTCAGGGTCGGTCAAAAAAGACGCATAGCTGGACATCACGTGGTAATGGCTAGCATTACTCATTAAGGTACAGCCCACCGCTAAAGTAATGTAGGGTTTTACCAATCTCAACGGTTGGCTTTGACTGGCGATTGTTTAATGCGGAGTGATCGAAAAGAAGATGTCAATAGCTAAAGTTGCAGCTGCAAGGGTGACGATACATATAAGCTACATTCAAAGTTTCATTGTAGTCTGGCTAATCGTTCCTAAGCTTCAGAAGCAGAACATACCCATGACTGAAACCGCACATTACTTCTGCTGTGGACTGTACATCATCCATCCCCTCTGATGCCATTCACGACTGGCTACCACCGCGGTTATTCAAGCCTGTCGCTAATGAACCAACTCCCGCTCCCCTGGTGGTTCGTAAGGTCTGAAGCGCCTAGTCAACTGAAAAAGCTCCCCCATGGCCCATCGTAGCGCGCACACCAATGTGTCATTGCGGCAACTTCAATCAGAGAGGGTATGGGAGGCGGGCACCAAGACAGACGGGACCAATCACTATCTGAAAGGTCAAGGTGGTCCTGTGGTGCGTGGGGTGCGTACAACGGTCGGGTTTCAGCACACTGCGTGATGGATCTGTATAATCCGTTCGGTGTTCGGTG